AGTGTTACTCTAATACCCAACGTCACAATGCCATACTTGAGGTCAAATTGATACCCAACAGTGCTCTAGATCGTACTGAAGGTCAGATAGTGTCACTGCAGGTCAGGTCAGGTCACGGTTTTGCTCTGTATGTTTACTCTCATACTGGAAGTTCTACAGTGCCAGTCTACAGTTGACAGATGCGCTCAGGGCCAAAGTGCCACCCAAGATATACAAAGTGACGTAATCAACATAGTCAGTACAGGGTATGCAAGTCATGGTAAACAGTAAGGCGATTCAGCCAAGGATAACTAAAAAAAGTCTTTGAATGCTTATTCCTTTTAGGGGTCCTTAGCCTTAAGTAGTGCAAGTATCACACAGACGGAGAACAGACAGGCGTCATTGTATTAGATAAGGATTTTGTTATTTTCTTCGTAAAACAATAAAAAAATGCTTCTGACACACAACACAACGAGCAGTATTATAATAAGTCAGAACAAACAGGTGATGGGGACAAGATGACTCAACTGAAAGTGATGGGATACAGGAGGACACCTTTCCTTACGCCAGTGGGACTTTTCACCGACTTACCTGCAGGAAGGTTGCGTGATGTTGACGCCCCACGCGCGCGCCGCTAACTGGCTGGCGTGCCCGGCACCCACGCCATTTATAACCTCGTAGCTACCCTACGTGTTGCCCCCCCCACCTCAGTGGCACCAACCTCATAATAACAACACGGGTCAGGGCACGTCAAGGCACCCCAGGGCAAGACAGGGTAGGGCAGCTTTTCTTGCAGGTGTTCGTTGTGACACCAGTAGCATCCCAATTACGTTCCATGAGACAAAAAACACATCTATAAAATACTTAAATTACAAAACCTGTTGAATAAAACCCCATCGAATAAAAGACCAAGTAATTTATCGTGGGAATAAAATAGATTCGCAATCCCTGTGTAGCAAATCACGACCGATAACTTCTTAATAACTATAATCCATATAAGATAACATGTTCTGTACACAATCCCGCCAGCTGGAAGATCTGAACGTGTTGAGTCACTTAATGTAATAGCCACCACGTGCTTAAGAATCACCTGAGGATTAGTCCCCAACTTATTTCACCTGATGATCAAACAACTGAACACTTCCTGGGGGTAAGGTTAGGTTAGGTTAGGTTAGGTTAGCCTGGATGTATTTAAAGTAAGGTTAATCTAGGTTAGGTTAGGTTAAGATAGCCTCGATGTATTTAAAGTAAGGTTAATCTAGGTTAGGTTAGGTTAGGTTAAGATAGCCTCGATGTATTTGAAGTAAGGTTAATCTAGGTTAGGTTAAGTTAGATTAGATTAGTTTTGACTAGATCCGGTTAACGTTAGGGTGATTAATCTCGAGGTGAAATAAACTGGGGAAGGGGGTGCTACTAGTCTTCAGATGAACAGAATTTAATGTATTTAAGCACAGTCCTGAGACATAAGGACCTAACCTGCCCTGAGAGATAAGGACCTAACCTGCCCTGAGAGATAAGGACCTAACCTGCCCTGAAACATAAGGACCTAACCTGCCCTGAGACATAAGGACCTAACCTGCCCTGAGAGATAAGGACCTAACCTACCATGAGAGATAAGGCAGAAGCTGGTTCACAAATAGGGTGGTGGACGAGTGGAACAAGCTTACCAACTTTGTAGTAAGTGCGGGAACTCTGGAAAGTTTCAAAAGGAGTCTGGATAGATTCATGGATGATAGAGAGTGGTAGTAACTCTCGACAGGAGCTGCCATGCACAGGCCAACCGGCCTATTGCAGACTCCTTATTTTCTTATGTTCTTATGTTGACCTGCCCTGAGAGATAAGGGTCTAACCTGCCCTGAGAGATAAGGTGAGCTCTCTCCTATCACCTGAAGATTAGTCCCCACCGCTAATTTAACTTTAAGATTAGCCCCCAGTTTTTATTAGTCCCATACAGTACTTATATAAATGTGGGTTACATACAATAGGTTTATATAATTACATCACCCACGGTAACTTTCCTATGAGACGTGAGTAGTCATCAACTGGGCACGTGACTGTGTATTCTTGCTGTGCCCTCACACCTTGAACCACAGAATCATTAATTAAGTAGCCGGCTATCGCCAGTTCAACTCCCGTGTCTGAGCCACTGAGACGTGTGCTCTAAGAAGCTAGATATACTGTATATACCCAAGCTTCGTCCATTATTAACGCTCACAGCTGATAGCGTTAATTACGGTGACATCCAAGTTATTGTGCAGTAGTTTATTTTCTTAATAAATGGAGAAAAGACCATTTGGGTTTGAAAACTTAACCCATAAACATTTATGAATGTTGCTTCTAGTTCACCTCTAATTAGTGATTCCACAGGTAACCGGAAACCGCAACAAGTTTATTTCACCTTTATGTTAACCAACCTAACCTATCCCACCAGGTAGCTTTAGGGTGTTTAATCGTCAGGTAATATAAGCTGGAGGATAATCATCAAGTGATCCAGATTGATTTTAGCGGACACTGCGTTGAGTACATGTGTTAAACACGGTTGGTGGTGAAGATGGGTCAAATTCCCCTGATGTGTTATAGCCAAGTCGGCGTGTTATAGCCATTGTTTTTTTATTTGTTTTTATAATAATGTCACGTTATCATATATTGTAATATGACCTGTGTGTTCAATAATTCCTTACAGACGCACGGACAGAAAACTGACATTCTTGCTTACGTCTTCCGGAAGTGTGAGATATAACTAATAAGCTTTATATCGGATAACCTGAAGATTAACATGGGGAGGATAGGTTAGGTTAGCGTGCTGGTATGTGTGTGTGTGTGTTTAGGTGTAAGTGTGTGAGTGGCTACCTGTGGTGTAATGGTCAGCATGTTCTCCTCGCAAGTGATTGATCTCTGATTCGATCCCCGGGCAGAGTGAAGCTATGGGCAAGTTTCTTTAAGTCATTTGCCTCTGTCTACCCAGCAGTAATTGGGGACCTGGATGTGAATCGATTTGTGGAGCGTGTTCCGGGGTAATGGTTAGCCAGTACAGTTGTCGAGTTGTCCGGTCATCTCGGACTATTCCTTGACACTGGGTCAGGCAACTCGTTAACTTAGGGTGTGGTTGTTGTGTTGACGACAGCTTCTACACCTTAAACAAATTCACTCCATGTGGCCCTTGGGCCGGCCATCCTCATACACGTGCGCTTGTGCGTGCGAGTGTGTACATATGTGTTTGTGTGTGAGAGAGAGAGACGGGACAACACATATCTTACATTGTTAATTATATCCAGGTCTTGGTATCCGTTAGTTTGTGTCGTGTTTCATGGACACCTTTACTGTGTTGTTTGTGAGTCAATATAATGATTCTTAAATTAGTTGTTGATTATTGGAATGTGGAGGTCAGTAGGCCTCTCTCTCTCTCTCTATCGATCTCCTCACTGTCTCTCTATTCTCTGTCTATCTCTCCTATTATCTCTTTTCTGTTTCTGTCTGTCTCTCCTGTCTATTCTGTTTCTTTTGTTTGTCTGTCTCTCTCTCTATTTATCTGTCTATATATATGTTTACTTCTCTCTCTGTGTCTCATGCGTGTGGATGGTCAGCCAGATAAAAAAAGAGAAGACCTCATCATCTTTCTCGGAGGTCAACCCTAAACTACGGCACAAAGGGACGTCGTGGTTGACAGGGAAGGGAGAAGGTCCTAAACTACGGAACAAAGGGACGTCGTGGTTGACAGGGAAGGGAGAAGGTCCTAAACTACGGCACAAAGGGACGTCGTGGTTGACAGGGAAGGGAGAAGGTCCTAAACTACGGAACAAAGGGACGTTGTGGTTGACAGGGAAGGGAGAAGGTCCTAAACTACGGCACAAAGGGACGTCGTGGTTGACAGGGAAGGGAGAAGGTCCTAAACTACGGCACAAAGGGACGTCGTGGTTGACAGGGAAGGGAGAAGGTCCTAAACTACGGGACAAAGGGACGTCGTGGTTGACAGGGAAGGGAGAAGGTCCTAAACTACGGGAAAAAGGGACGTCGTGGTTGACAGGGAAGGGAGAAGGTCCTAAACTACGGCACAAAGGGACGTCGTGGTTGACAGGGAAGGGAGAAGGTCCTAAACTACGTCGTGGTTGACAGGGAAGGGAGAAGGTCCTAAACTACGTCGACAGGGAACAGGGAAGGGAGAAGGTCCTAAACTACGGGACAAAGGGACGTCGTGGTTGACAGGGAAGGGAGAAGGTCCTAAACTACGGGAAAAAGGGACGTCGTGGTTGACAGGGAAGGGAGAAGGTCCTAAACTACGGCACAAAGGGACGTCGTGGTTGACAGGGAAGGGAGAAGGTCCTAAACTACGGCACAAAGGGACGTCGTGGTTGACAGGGAAGGGAGAAGGTCCTAAACTACGGAACAAAGGGACGTTGTGGTTGACAGGGAAGGGAGAAGGTCCTAAACTACGGCATACGGTGAGGTAAACACAACGCAGGGTGATTTAGTTTATGTTGTGGTCGGTTACAACTACGATCCTGACACACTAACTATCTTCCTTAATGACACCGATAAGAAAATCCTATCACCTCGTCCAATGCGACATAGGTTACATAAGCAAAATCCTATCACCAACACAAGCTAAGATTCTGCATTCTATAGGAACATCAATTGCGATAAAGCAGACGCGTGTTCCGAATTAGTGAATACAATAGACTAGCGTGGTCTTGTGTAATGGGTGGTAGGGGAGGGGAGGACTAGGGAAGGGGTTGGGTGGGAAGGGGGTCAAGGTGTCGTGGGTGGAGGTGGGAGGGTGTTGTGGGTGGAGGGGTTGACATACGTGACGTAATAAAAATTGAGGACATCCGGACCATCTTGTTGTGGTGTGTGTGTGTGTGTGTGTGTGTGTGTGTGTGTGTGTGTGTGTGTGTGTGTGTGTGTGTGTGTGTGTGTGTGTGTGTTACTTGTGGTAGGTTTAGGTTAGGTTAAGTTAGATTAAGGTAGATTAGATTAGGGTGAATATCAGTGGGTCAAGTTGGTTTACAGGATAATCAGGTTCGATGCTAGGTCAAGGTTACGCCATTTGTGTTGAGCGAGTGCCAATAAGGAGGTCAATTCTGGCACTCCTGGGCAGGTTGACACAAGGCACTCCTGACCGCTGCGACCATGAGAAACACTACAGCCTGACCCACCAACACACTGCCTACCTCTCAGCGTCCCTGAGAAACCCACCACATGTATCCAGAATTTAATTTTATTATGGAACGATCAATTAGGTGAAGGTCGATCTCTGTGACCCAGGGAGGCGCAGCGGTCGTCAGTACAGGAAAGGTCAACAAGTTCTCCCGTTTAGAAAGTTCAAGTGAGAAGCTAGTCGGAAACTTGCGAATGTTTGGTCGTAATCAACTGTAAATATATACAACTAATAAATAATCTGTAAATAGTGTAAAATAATGATAGACAAGAGAGACAGATAGAAACAGAAGAGAGATGACAGTAGAGATAGACAGAAAGGAGATAGATAGACTTGTATAGATAACGTCGTCTATAGGTAATTTATCAAGAATTTTTTCCTGAAACAAAAGAGCATCGCTCGGTGGCGGATGAAAACAAGTGAGGATCGATGTCCGTGGCGTGGGTGACTACAAGGTTGATAAAAAGCGCGGCAACTCCATGTTTAGGGCCAGTGATCGCCTCTCTTCTGCTTGCCAAACATCAAACCAATCACTCCTGACCTCAGTGCCAGCCAATACCAGAAACGTAGTAGTGAAGATGACGGTAAGGTGTTGTATATAGGAAAACAATTGAATGCTACTGTAGAACTTAATACACACACACACACACACACACACACACACAAACTTGTGAATTAATTAAACCTTCATAAGTCACAGTACAACCTGGTTTTAACCCATTCAATTTTGGGAATATTTTTGTTTAAGTTTGTTTGTCTAGGTGTTTATGAGTCAAATGTTTGGTTTGTGGGTTAGGTTTACGTCTCTGGGTGTCTGTCAAGTGTTTTGTTTAGTTTGTGGGTTTATTTATAAATGTCTGTCTGTCTGTCTCGTCTTTTGTTTACATAAGAACATAAGAATAGAAGAAACTGGCCCATACTGGGCAGTCCCGTTTACACCCAACCCCTATCGCTCATATATCCATCCAACCTATATGTGAAGCTATCCAGCGTATTCGAGTTAATGATGATGCTTGGTAACTTATTCCACTCATCCACTACTCTATTTACAAACCAATATTTACCTATCTCGCGCCTAAATCTAAATTTGTCTTATTTAATACCATTGTTACGAGTTCGCTCCTGGTTGGATAGTTTAAGTACCTTTGTTATATCGCCTTTGTTTAGCCCTGACTTCCATTTATACACCTCTATCATATCGCCCCTCACTCTACGTCTCTCGAGGGAGTGTAAATTAAGATGCTTTAACCTGTCTCTGTACTCAAGGTTTGTGGGTTTGTATACGTGGCTCTCTATCTAATTTTGTTTGGTTTGTGAGTTTTCTTTACGTGCACGTGTGTGTGTGTGTGTGTGTGTGTGTGTGTGTGTGTGTGTGTGTGTGTGTGTCGTTGTGAAAGGACACTAGTCATGTCGACCCCACTACAGATTGACCTCACAGCAGATTGACCTCCACATGTTAGGTTAGGTTAGGTTAGGTTAGGTCAGGTTAGGTTAGGTTAGGTTAGGTTAGGTTTTGTGTTGTTGGGTTTATTTGTTTATGTCTATCTGTCTGTCTACCTCTATTTATCTATTTATTTATATTTATCTTTCTGACTAGGTCTAACCTAACCTAACCTAAAGGCGCTAGTAGCATTTCTCAACATATACTCGTGTCTTCTTTTAACAGGCATCGTCAGGTACCTCCGTCAGGTTCCTGCTGGTGGTGTTCCTCAGTCCTCTCACCTCCTCCCTCTCCCTCCCTCACAAGGCCTCCTCCCTTTCCTTCCCTCAACAGACCTCTTCTGCATACACACGAGCGCCTCCCTCAACCTCCTCCTCCTTCTCTCGCAGCCCCCAGTTACCACAACCCCACCTCGATCACAGCCCTCAGTCACCACAACCCCACCTCGATCACAGCCCTCAGTCACCACAACCCCCCTCGATCACAGCCCCCAGTCGATCCTCAGTCACCACCCCACCTCGATCACAGCCAGTCACACAGCCCACCTCGATCACAGCCCCCAGTCACCACAACCCCACCTCGATCACAGCCCTCAGTCACCCACAACCCCACCTCGATCACAGCCCCCCAGTCACCACAACCCCACCTCGATCCACAGCCCTCAGTCACCACAACCCCACCTCGATCCACAGCCCCAGTCCACAACCCCACCTCGATCACAGCCCTCAGTCACCACAACCCCACCTCGATCCACAGCCCCAGTCACCACAACCCCACCTCGATCACAGCCTCAGTCACCACAACCCCACCTCGATCACAGCCCCCAGTCACCACCCCCCCACCTCGATCACAGCCCCCAGTCACCACCTCGATCACCCCCACCTCGATCACAGCCCCCAGTCAGTCACCACAACCCCACCTCGATCACAGCCCTCAGTCACCACAAGTCCCCACCTCGATCACAGCCCCCAGTCACCACAACCCCACCTCGATCACAGCCCTCAGTCACCAGGCCAAGGAGAGGAAAATACCCACAGCAACAAAGATCTGACACAGGCCAAGACTGCTCCTCAAACCACCGTGCCAGATCGACCCAATACTAACGACGCCTTACAGCCAAACTACTCCCCCGTCGTCAAGGTACAGTGGACATTATTACTGCCTCCTATTTGTACTCATAATAATAGTGCTGTTGTTATTGTCACTCATAATACGTTACTTACATTAGTTTGTTTGTCTTGGTTGTGAAATACACTTTAACCTAACCTAACCTAACCTAACCTAACCTAACCTAACCTAACCCAAGACTTTATATATAAAACACTCCACAGGCTTTGCTCAATGAGGTGACCGATGAATGTCAAAATGAACAGTGCGACTCCTGTTGTCTCGGTAGGGTTATCAATATCTTTCGTCTGTTGTGTCATAATTACGAACACAAAATCGTATAAAAGATGTTTTTTGGTGGGTATATGAAAATGAATTAACGAAAGACAGGAATAAGGAAATATAGACCGATAAAAGACAGGAATAAGAAAATATGGACCGATAAAAGACAGGAATAAGATAATATAGACCGATAAAAGACAGGAATAAGATAATATAGACCGATAAAAGACAGGAATAAGATAATATAGACCGATAAAAGACAGAAATAAGAAAATATGAACCGATAAAAGACAGGAATAAGAAAATACGAACCGATAATACACAGGCATAAGAAAATATAGACCCGATAAAAAAACAACAATAAAAAAAATACGATATGACAATAAGAAAAACACAACACCAACAAGAACCTGTAGTAGAGGTAATAAGAAAACCATGACTGATCGCTTAATATACCGACCAGAAGATGTTAACTCAGTACACCAGGTGGATGAACGAGAGGCAAAAAATCCTTGGGTCACTCTCAAGACTCTCCCTCAGATTAATACTTGAAATATTTACTCGTGTTTCAATTATGTATAGAATCGATACAGGTGATACAGGATTACAGGTGTTTAATGAGTGCCAGGAGGTGTTACATGCGGGAGGTAATTCGATTTTCTGGTGACCAATTTCTATCTTTTAAGGTTTTATTGGTTATAGGTTGGGGTTGGGTTTGTGTTTGGTTGGGTTAGTGTTTGGTTGGGTTTGTGTTTGGTTGGGTTTGTGTTTGGTTGGGTTTGTGTTTGGTTGGGTTTGTGTTTGGTTGGGTTTGTGTTTGGTTGGTTAGTTTGGTTGGGTTTGTGTTTGGTTGTGTTTGGTTTGTGTTTGGTTGGGTTTGTGTTTGGTTGGGTTTGTTTGGTTTGGTTGGGTTTGTTTGGTTTGGTTTGGTTGGGTTAGTGTTTGGTTGGGTTAGTGTTTGGTTGGGTTTGTTAGTGTTGGTTGGGTTAGTTTGGTTGGTTGTTAGTGTTTGGTTGGGTTAGTGTGGGTTGGGTTTGTGTTTGGTTGGGTTTAGTGTTTGGTTGGGTTAGTGTTTCAGGTACATCAACACACAGAAACTCATTTTCACGGGATAGTTCTGTTTTTTTTTTGTGTTACTGATGCGTACAAGATAACCTCTCGTTCTGGCGTATTAACTGTTATCACTACGCCTCTCTCTCTCTCTCTCTCTCTCTCTCTCTCTCTCTCTCTCTCTCTCTCTCTCTCTCTCTCTCTCTCTCTCTCTCTCTCGCTTGATCTACTGAATAAAATAGTTTGTTCTCTTGAGTTCAATGACTAAACCCTTTGAATGAGATACCTGAAACCATTGGCTTGAAAGGGTTAAGCCATCGTTCTCAAAGTGTTAAACCATCATCCTCAAAGGGTTAAATCACCGTAAATTAGTAACAATCCAAATATAAACAATGTATATATATAAATTACTAAACGGTATCACTCGAACACGAATCTAATTAATTTTAAGAGGCCTTGACACTTAATTGTACCTGAACACCTTCGCCATTAGCAGTTTATTACGCCCTACACAGTGCCATGTCCACCTTTTACAGTGCCTCAGGGTGCCTCAATAGCTTATAAAACACCGCCATATTGGTGTGTGACGTTACGTTACGTCACTGTCCCCGGGCCGGTACAGGATGTGACGTAAGGATGTATTCTAGCACAGGTTTGACCATAATGACTGACGCACACACACACACACACACACACACACACACACACACACACACAGTAACAATCAGTAACTCCTAAACCCTATTGACAGGGTCACCACCACCAACCACCATCAGTAGCTGCCGCAGGAAGTGTTGTGGATCCCGCCGTGCTACTGACGAAGGAACTGAAGAAGGAACTTGTGGGGACACGTCAAGACGAAGTAAACCTCCACCACAGGGAAGACCTACACGACGGAGACCTCGATAACAGTTTCTACGACGAGCTCCCCTACACCGAGAGTCTCCATAGTGGTGCCGACGGGGATGTGGTGATGGAGGAGGGTGTGTCGAGGGAGGTGGCGTCGCTGGTGGAGAGTGTAAGGCGTCAGGGGATGGGTCGCTGCGCCCTGGCTGTCACCACTGACCACCACCACCTCCCTGCCCTACACCTCCTCCTCACCCAACACCTGGTCAGTTGCTGCCATTGTATCCGTCCGTCCGTCCGTCCGTCCGTCCATGTGTACAATTGCAATAATGATAACAGTTGTAGGATCACCTGGAGATTAGCCCCAAACTTATTTCCCATGATGATTAACTGCTCGAACGTTAACCTAACCTAACCTAACCTAACTCCCCCATCTCTTGTTACAGGCAGCAGAAGACGTCGAGAACCTCCACCACCCCCACCAGCAGGAAGAGCAGGAGGTGACGCCCATCGCTCTGTTCACTCTACCTCCCCTCTCCCAGGTATGTGCCAGTGTCTGTTTTATCTGTCGTGTCTGTGTCAGGTCTGTGTTATGGTTTATCTGTTGTTCGGTTTCTGTTAAATGATACTTTCTCAGGTCTGTGCCGCCGTTGTCTGTGTGTCTGTCGTATCTCTTAATTCTTGCCAAGTTTGTACTAATGTGTGTGTGTGTGTGCTGTATTTTTCTTAACTGTGTCTGTGCTGATCCGGGACAAGCGTGGGAAGGGTTATCTAATGTCACCTTACCAAACATAGACAATTTTCTCCAAGCGGTTTCCTCCTATTAACACTGGACAATATAAGTCATGAGAAAGCAACAAGGAACTGACCACCAGCCTTGAATGGTTAGGTTAGGTTAGATTAGGTTAGGTTAGGTTAGGTTAGGTTAGGTTAGGTTAGGTTAGGTTAGGTGTTGAAGTGATAAATAATTTGGGTATTACTTTACAACACTTGGGTACCTGTCGATGAATATTTTATTGAAGACAACTTGTTCGGTACCTTGAGAAAGTCTGAATTATTACTACCACAAAGTTTATGTCTCTAATTAAAGTCATTATATGTAGAAAAAGATCTGCTGAAGCTGCTCATATGGTCCCAAGACTGGCAAATGTTTTTAATGTAGCAAAATGTAAGACTCAACGTGCGTGACTCAACAAACCTTATAACACCTTCCTGGATACTGTTGATAAGGGAAAAGACCTCTAGAACAGGTTCAACAAAGAGCGAGTAATATGATTCTGGAACTCCTGTATATCATCTACCCAAGCAGACTGAGGGCCTTAAGACTGACAACTCTTCACACAAGACATAATAGGTTGTCTCTCATACAGACATTAAAAGTCTTAAGGGTGATGGAAAACATAAACACAGATAAATTTATCGTCATGTCCCGCACCACCAACACAAGAGGACATCAATGTGTCTTACCGGACGAATATTAGGAGACATTCCTTCACACAGAGGATGGTAGACCTATGGAACAGTCGACCTGCTTAAGCTTCAAAGTACCCCATGAAAAAACAATCAAGGACAAGGGAGGGATCCTACACAGATCACTGACCTACTTACCCTGTCGTGGCGGCGTGTCCACCTGTGGGCTGGATGAACATTAGGTAAATTAGGTGAAGTGTGACTGGAGTGGGAGGGGAGGAGGATGAAGGGGGAGCGTCTAGCCTTGCGGTGTCTGGCGGAAAGATGTTGTCTAGCGGTCAGAAGGACGTTAGTATCTGGCCTGGCCTTGCATCACAATGTTAAGGGGAAAATAAACACTCACTAACTAATTTTCACCCCGAGTTGTTTGTTTACATTAAGAAAAAAAGCGAAGGATGTTTAGTATAAAGGAGACCTCCCTCCAGGCCTTAATGACGGCGGGAGTGAATGTAGCCCCCCAGGAAGACGCCAATGTCTGCCTCATCCTCCTCACACAACACTGCGTCGCCCACACCTACACTTGCCGCCTCCTGTTGCCACCACAACATGTCCTTCCCGAGCTGACGTGAGAGTGACTGAATGATGTATCTTGTGGAGTTTACCAAGTCACTGTTAGTGTTTATAATGACTGTTTTTGTTGCAATGTTAAAGATTATTATTATTATTATTATTATTATTATTATTATTATTATTATTATTATTATTATTATTCCCCCTTTTCATTAATTATTTATTCTTCCACGTGAATCTTCTTTATTCTATTTTCCCCTTTTCGTCTTTCTCTTCTCTTCCTTTCTCGCAATATCTCCTCGTCTTCACCTACAGGATAACAGCACCACCTTTCCTTCGTCACTAGCGGAGAAGTACAAGAGCGTGGGACGAGAGACGTGTGTCCATTACGTGTTCCTCGTCAGCGACCCCTCCAGGCTACTCCACCTGTTGGCGGGACTATACCAAGACGCCCTCTACCTGTGGGCTAAGTTCGTCCTCGTCACCCACCTGCACGTTCACCACATCCTCGACTTTCTTCAGGTAGTTCTCGACGTTCTTTCTTCAAGTGGATGTGTGTCCTCGACTTTCTCTCCCGAACACTACTTGGGTTAGGTTAGGTTATATTACGTTGGGTTAGGTTAGTTTATGTTAGGTTAGATTAGGTTTGCATTAGGGTGTTTAATCATGGTGAAATAAACTCGGGGAGCTAATCTTTATGCAGTCATATTTTTTAACAAACAAATTCATTAAATCACATATCTAAGTTGCCCCTCCCCTCTCATCCTTCCCTCCACCCCCACCCCCTTCATCCTTCCTTCCACCCCTTCATCCCCCCACCCCACCCCACCCCACCCATCTCACTCCTCTCTCCACCACTTACAGACGTCTCCAGTCAACAAGATCGTCCAGGTACTGTTAGTGACACCTTCTGCCTCTCAGGACGGGGTGGCGCTGCATCTGTACACCCACCTTTTCTTTCTGGAGCAGCGGCGCCTTACCCTCAAGAAGTTGGGCACCTGGCCTTTAAGAAACTCTTCTTCTACCTCCTCTACCTCCTCGTCAGCTGGAAAAGTTCGCGGCGCCCTCCAGTTCTTCCCGGAGAAGCTGTCAAACTTCAATGGTTTTAGGGTGAGGTGTGACGTGTTGTGGAGAAATAATACGATGATATTGATGACCTGAAGATGTATGACTTCCTTCCTTCCTTCCTTCCTTCCTTCCTTCCTTCCTTCCTTCCTTCCTTCCTTCCTTCCTTCCTGCAACTATCATTACCTCTCATGACTCTCCCTCTTCTTACAGTTCCGAGTGACGACCTTCAACCACCCGCCCGTTTCCATCTTTGAGTCCTTACCTGACGGAGACATTACCTACGATGGGTTGGAGATAAGACTTCTGTCAGCCCTCGCCTCAGCCCTCAACTTCACCGTGGAGATTAACCTACCTAGAGACGGGGAGAAGTGGGGGAGTAGATTACCCAATGGCAGCTGGACGGGTGAGGGGAAGAGTGGGAGGATAAGAGGGGAAGAGAGTGGGAGAGATGGGTGAGGGGGAGAGTGGGAGGATAAGAGGGGAAGAGTGGGAGGATAAGATGGAAAGAGAGTGGGAGAGATGGGTGAGGGGGAGAGTGTTAAAGGGTATGTACAAATGTGAATATTTATACTGTTGTACATTAATTAAACGCCTGAAGGGCATGTTGAACACCTGTGAACATCTGTTAGACATGTGAACATAATTCACATCTGTTAGACGCCTGTAAACATCACTATACATCTGTTAGACACCTGTAAACATTACTACACATCAGTTAAACACCTGTAAACATCACTACACACCTGTTAGACACCTGTAAGCATCACTATGCATCTGTTAGACACCTGTAAACATCACTATACACCAGTTAAACACCTGTAAACACCACTACACACCTGTAAACACCACTACACACCTGTAAACATCACTATACATCTGTTAGACATCTGTAAACATCACTATGCATCAGTTAAACACCTGTAAACATTACTACACATCAGTTAAACACCTGTAAACATTACTACACATCATTTAAACACATGTAAACATCACTACACACCTGTTAGACACCTGTAAACAACACTATGCATCTGTTAGACACCTGTAAACACCACTATACATCTGTTAGACACCTGTAAACATCACTGTACATCTGTTAGACACCTGTAAACATCACTATACATCTGTTAGACACCTTCACACACACACACACCACTAAATATTTACACCAAAACACCTGTGAACTAACCTCGACATCAGTATATACAAGATAATTATTGCCACAAAAACTAAAACCACACCTACCAAAAAAAACCTGTGGATCTCGTTACACACCTATTAAAAACACCTGTCCATATGCCACAGGTGCGGTTGGGGAGACGATCCGTGGGGAGACAGATGTGTCCTTCGCTAATTACTTCATTACGGCCGATCGCCTTAAGGTAATGGACATGACTGAGTCCTATTACATCGACTACGCCTGCTTCATTACCCCCAAGCCTCAGCCTCTGCCCCAGTACACAGCTGTTGCCTGGCCCTTCCATGTGAGTAGGAGGGGGTGGGGGGGGAGGGGGGAGCTGTAGCAAACGTTACAAACAAGGAAATAGGAAATGCCTCGGACTCCTTCGCCTCAAAATATGCAGCTGTTTCCTGTATGTTGTACGAGAGAGAGAGAGAGAGAGAGAGAGAGAGAGAGAGGTAGGAGGGTAGATAGAGGAAGGGGAAGGGGTGAGAGAGAGAGAGAAGGAGGAGTGAGGGAGAGAGGAATGGGTGATAGGAAGAAAAAATGGACTCGTGGTTGGCGTAGACAGAGTAAGGGATAAAAAATAAAATAGAGAAGAGAAATACAGAATAAGAGTAAATGAAGAGGAAGAGAGAGAGAGAGAGTGAGAGAGAGACCAATGAAAGGAACGGTTCAGTTATATAAATGGCACGGTTGCGTTAGCGGTAGCGTTATGCGTTTGCGGTACGTGTCAATCGGTCCCTGTTGCGATTGAAAACGTAACCGCATGGAAATGGGTTAGGGAATCCCACACTGAGACGTCACTAGTTCCTGCTTCATATATACCCTCGCTCTCCTCACCCAGGAAAATATTCTTTAATTTTTTTCTTCACCCAAACTTAGCTCTTTTACCATAGTATTGTTGGCTCTAAATTTGGTCCGATTTAGCAGCAATTTATACACTTACCATCTGTTTCTTTGACCGTTTTCCCTTTACATTACGCTTGATCTTATAAAAACCAGGATAACTTATAGCAAATCAACCTGTTCGTATATATAGAGTTTTAGCTTCGGTGCACTGGGAGCCATCTTTCATGTCCTGTTCCCGCTAAGACAGAAGAAGCAGCTGCAAATGGAAACAAGGGTGTCCGTTTTCCCCAAGGCATTTTAACGCCAACGCATATATGGATTCCTAACTTATTGTATATATAGTTTTACAATGTATATCTTTATTCATTTACTTCAAGATTTTTTGGTGATTATTATACTCCTCGCAGTTATAACCACACGGTTTTTTTTGTGTTAGGCTTTTATGTGATATTCAGTTTGTTTTGTAATGATTTAGCTGATGTTCAGTTGTTTATACTGCGTTACATTATATTATTCACCCGACTTTTCGTTGCAGGTACAAACTTTCCCTGGTGATAAAGTAATAAATATTCATCTAATTTTACAGGGTTACGCGTTATGTTATCGCATGTTATCTTCTCCGTCGCGATGCTCTTGTGACTCTTGATAACATTCCAGCGTGATATAAAGTTTACAACAGTTTGGGTTATGTAGACAAATCTCCTTATCTGTTTGTTGTGTGTAAGTTTGTTTACAAGCACCTGAAGATTACCACCCCCCCCCCCCCTAGTTTATTTCACCGTAAGATTAACCATCCTAAACATAACATAACCTAATCTAAGCTATACCTAACCACCATAAAGTTAACTTAACCTCAACCCCCAGGTGGCTTTACGATGTTTAATCTTCAGATGAAATAAACTAGGTGAGGGGGGTGTGCTAACCTCACCTCGACCTGTGAATTTTTAATATAACAAGTAGGAATATTTTATCTATTTGATTGTGATATATAATGTGGATATATTATACATATACAGTATACATATATCCCCTGTACTTATCTACCAGATGACCTTCAACTCTGACCTGACCTGACCTGACCTCATAAATTGTGGTTGGTTCATATTTCTGGTGAACAGTGGAGCCTCTTTCTTGCTTGGAGACGCACTATGGCTTTTATTTACTTACATACATACATACATACATAGATGCATACATACCTGTGGTGTAATGGTCGGCATGCTCCCTCATAAGTGGGCAGAGTGAAGCTGTGGGCAAGTTTCTTTACGCCTTTTGCCTCTGTCTGCCCAGCAGTAATTGGGAACCTGGATGTTAATCGATTTTGAGGGGCTTCTTCCATTATTACATACAGTCACACACACACACACACACACACACACACACACACACACACACACATTCTGTACATACATATGACTGTCGATAACATAAACAAACTTTTTTATTACAAAGAATTATAGTGTCTGAGAATTACGATTTTTATGGCGCCAATATTTTATGCGATTACTGGATTGTGTTGTTGTGGCGTTGATGGCGATGGTAATGGGTTGTGTTGTGGCGTTGATGGCGATGGTAATGGGTTGTGTTGTGGCGTTGATGGCGATGGTAATGGGTTGTGTTGTGGCGTTGATGGCGATGGTAATGGGTTGTGTTGTGGCGTTGATGGCGATGGTAATGTGTTGTGTTGTGACGTTGGTAATGGGTTGTGTGGCGTTGATAATGGATTGTGTTGTTGTGGCGATGGTAATGGGTTGTGTGGCGTTGATAATGGATTGTGTTGTGGCGTTGATGGCGATGGTAATGGGTTGTGTTGTGGCGTTGATAATGGATTGTGTTGTAGCGTTGATGGCGATGGTAATGGGTTGTGTTGTGGCGTTGGTAATGGATTGTGTTGTGGCGTTGATGGCGATGGTAATGGGTTGTGTTGTGGCGTTGGTAATGGATTGTGTTGTGGCGTTGATAATGTGTTGTGGCGTTGATGGTGTGCTGTGGCGTTGATGGCGATGGTAATGGGTTGTGTTGTATGTTGGTAATGGGTTGTGTGGCGTTGGTAATGGGTTGTGTGGCGTTGGTACGGATTGTGTTGTATGGCGTTGATAATGTGTTGTGGCGTTGATAATGTGTTGTGGCGTTGATGGTGTGTTCTATGTTGATGGTGTGTTGTGGCGTTGATGGTGTGTTGTGGCGTTGATGGTGTGTTGTGGCGTTGATGGTGTGTTGTGGAGTTGATGGTGTGTTGTTGATGGTGTGATGTTGATGGTGTGTTGTGGCGTTGATGTTGTGCTGTGGCGTTGATGGTGTGCTGTGGCGTTGATGGTGTGCTGTGGCGTTGATGGTGTGCTGTGGCGTTGATTTCCAATTTCAAAGAAAATTTAGATATTGCAAGACTTGTTTACTATAGGCAAGTGTGTTTACAAGTGAGAGTGTTTACTACAGGTGAGTTTGGTTACTATAGGCAAGTGTGTTTACAAGTGAGAGTGTTTACTACAGGTGAGTTTGGTTACTATAGGCAAGTGTGTTTACAAGTGAGAGTGTTTACTACAGGTGAGTTTGGTTACTATAGGTAAGTGTGTTTATTAGAGGTGAGCGTGTTTACTACAGGTGAGTTTGTTGACCCCAGGTAAGCGTGTGGGGAGCGGTGTTAGTGACCTTGATGATGGTGCCTCCTGCGGTAAGGGTGGCAGGCCTGGTGGAGCCCGGCAGCTGGTTCCGACGCCTCGACAACGCCTTCTGGTACGTGCTCGGAGTGTTCTTGACCCGCTCGCAACCCTTCCAGCTGGTGCCATCATCGTCAGGGCTACGGGTCGTGGTTATTACGAGTTGGGTAGCCGCTATGGTCATCTCTGTGGCGTATAAGTCCTCCCTCATCGCCTTCCTGATGGTGCCCCTTCCTGCCCAGCCGATCAACACCTTGGCACAGTTGTTAGAGTCTGGCCTACGCTGGGGAGTCAGGGACCGTGGTGGCTGGGATGAATGGTTCAGGTGAGTTCTTTATGCTCTCAGTTAATCACACACACTCACCATGTCCGTAACTCTCACACACACTCACCATGTCCGTAACTCTCACACACACTCACCATGTCCGTAACTCTCACACACACTCACCATGTCCGTAACTCTCACACACACTCACCATGTCCGTAACTCTCACACACACTCACCATGTCCGTAACTCTCACACACACTCACCATGTCCGTAACTCACACACACTCACCATGTCCGTAACTCTCACACACACTCACCATGTCCGTAACTCACACACACCACCATGTCCAACTACACACACCACCATGTCCGTAACTCCCACACACCACCATGTCCGTAACTCTCACACACACTCACCATGTCCGTAACTCTCACACACACTCACCATGTCCGTAACTCTCACACACACTCACCATGTCCGTAACTCTCACACACTCACCATGCCCGTAACTCACACACTCACCATGCCCGTAACCCCACACACTCACCATGCCCGTAACCTCACACACTCACCATGCCCGTAACCCACACACCACCATGCCCGTACCTCTCACACACTCACCATGCCTGTAACCTCACACACTCACCTCACACACCACCATGCCCTCTCACCATGCACCTCACCATGCAAACACACTCACCATGCCTGTACCTCTCACACACTCACCATGCCCGTACCTCACACACTCACCATGCACCTCACACACACTCACCATGCCCATACCTCACACACTCACCATGCCCGTAACTCACACACTCACACACACTCACCATGCCCGTAACTCTCACACACTCACCATGCCTGTCACACACACTCACCATGCCCGTGCCCGTACACACACTCACCATGCCCGTACACACTCACCATGCCCGTAACTCTCACACACTCACCATGCCCGTAACTCTCACACACAATCCTTATCACACTCACTCGTGTGTGTGTGTGTGTGTGTGTGTGTGTGTGTGTGTGTGTGTGTAAACTACTTGGTTGTTTACGTTGAGTGTGACGTCATAGTATCACTCGTTGACAACTAAATCTTAGAAATGGAACTTACTGACTTAACTTACCTACTTGCTGTGGTTGTTTCTGGACGCATTATCAACGCCACAACACCACACCATTAACGCCACAACACACTATAACACCACAACAACACACCATCAACGCCACAACACCATCAACGCTACAACACCATCAAACCCACCATTATAGATTTCTTGTGACACCTAACCTAACCTAACCTAACCTTCTTGAAGAGATGGCTGGGTGTGTGTCAGGCCTCACATATTGACTTAAGGAGATTTTATTTATTTACATATTGGTGTTCGTAGCATAACCGCCATTATTAACCTGTCGAGAGTTAGTAAAAATGCCCATTCACTCGTTAAGGATTCATTACTTATGTTTGTGTTGAAAATATATAATTGATTACTTGATTTAAATTTACCTAATGGATTATATTAATACTTACTATCATATCATCATAGAGACACACCGGAGAGAGGGATATATTTACTTGTTATTGAAGTTCTGAAGAAGTTTGGTATTATGTTACCTCACCTGCCAGGTTATGCCATCACCTGACAGCCGTGTTAATGAAGAATGCTTGCATCCTCCTCTACATAACTCCCTGTCACTCACACCATCATCCTCCTTCACCACAGGAAGCATGTCAAGCACACAGGAAACTTCACTGATAGTCTTAATTATACAACACGTCCCATGGGCCCAGACACGAGACATAGAGAGCCAGGTGTCCACAAGGTTGTTCCCTCGACGTGCTCTATAGGAGACCATCACCTCTCTCCCTGAACTTCGTAGCATCTCTTCCCTCCATTCCTTGTCTTTCTTCCCCTTAATCCCAAACATAACCTCCACCTGTCTCTCTTGTTTTTACTCTCCATCATCCAGTTTTCCCTCATTCACCTACAGTATCTATTTCTCCCTCCAGCAACTCGCTTGACCCGACGTCGCAAAAGATCGCTGCTGGGTTTGAATTCGTGAACGGGATCGAGAGAGGCCTGGCGAGGGTGCTGGAGGGGAACTTTGCCTTCATGAACTCCGGTACTTTCCTTCGTTACCTTGTTGCCAGTAACTTCACCGACGAGTTTGGCCAGACAGAGCTCCACATCGCCAAGCAGTGTTTTGTCCCTTTCAGGCAAGTGGAAGTGGCGGCGGTGGGATTCTCGCCAAATGTTTATCTATTCGTGGTATTTCTCAGCGATTGTAATTTGTTATCATGTTATTTGATTGATTTTCTTGTTTATTTGTGTATTCATCTTGTTTATTGATTGTATTTTTTGGGGGGCGATGGGGGTAACGTTTGGTGTGTTAACAGGATTGGGTTGGGAATGCCGCGTTTCTCCGTTTACACATCCAGGTTCAACAGTGTGGTGGCTCACGTCGTGGAAGCTGGCATGGTGTCCCGGTGGTTTCAGGACCTTTTAGATAAGGTGAGGAATAGAGGACTGAAGGAGGGGGGGGGGTCCATGGTGTTGGTGGTGGTTCACAAGGTTGAGGGTTCGATTCCAGAGCTTGAAAACACACACACACACACACACACACACACAGGGCTCAGGTCGAGGCTCCTCCTTACTGATCATCTATATGTCTGTAATTCGAAACCCATTCCCCAAATATGTAACTGTATATTTTCAGCCTTCTGGCTGCCAAGCTCTTTCAATAAACCGTTAATTATTATTATTATTATTACACACACACACACACACACACACACACACAAACATCTCTTATTGGGAATACACAAATCGAATTCCTTGTAGATTTTTCCTCTATTTTCATTCTTACTTAATCTTTGAAACCAACAAAACCGTCCAAGATGGCATCGAAATAACACTCAGACTTACCACACTCAGAAGTTATGGCGAAACATTGACAAGAACATTTTTTTTTAACATACAATTCAAAAATGTCTAAAATAAGCTCCATATATTTCTCTTGATTGCAAAAGTATTCTCCCATTACCTGTCTCTCCTTGTTCACACTTTAGGCGGAGAGGAAACAGAGTAATAAGGCGAGAGATAGAAGGGAGACACTCCAGACCGATACCTACTCCACCCAGACCAAAGTCCTCGGTCTCTACCACGTCCAGGTGAGTGAGTCAGGCCAACGTTAGGAAACACAGTTAATTAGGTCGTAGTTTGTTAACTTTGTAAAATTCAAAATAAATACAGTGTACTTATATACTCTTTGTAATCCCCCCAGTCTTACAGGTTTAACTAACGTATATGTCCCCCCTCCCCCCTCCCCCCCCAGGGTCCCCTCATCTTGCTAGTGCTGGGGTGGGTGCTGGCAGGGACTACCTTCCTGCTGGAGGTCGCGCTATGCTCCAGGTTAGTGAGGAGTATTGTTGCTTTCTTAACCTAACCAACATCCGGATTGTTGAAGTTTCCCACATGGTGTCATGTGGTCTGGCAGGGGTGGTAAGCAGGGTGTCATGAGGGCTGTCATTTATTCAAATTTGTACACAAGTCTCAATTAATGCTCAGCTCGCCTCTTCATTTTAGCGTTGTATTCATGATCAATCTCTTACCCCCGTTAGTACACGCAGGCGCTGTTGGCAACCTAGCGTGGCTGACGATGAAACAGAGGACTGAGGCCTCGGCGGGTCGTTTCCGTGGAGTCGTACGCCACCACGCAGGGGAAGGTGTTGCATGATGGTCCGATGGTTTTTTGTTATAATTAGATGTTGTCTTTTAACACAGGAATCCCAAGTGCGGATTCCGTCATTTTTATCACATTATGGATCACCTGAAGATTAGTCCCAGCTTATTTCACCTTAGGACTAATAACTCTAATGCTAACCTAACCCAAGTAACGCTATCCTAACCTAAGTAACGCCAACCTAATCAAACCTAACCTAACCGAATCTAATCCAACCTTGACTAATCTGACCTAAATTAACCTAATCTAACCCCCCCAGGTAGGGTTTGGGTGTTCAATCTTCAGGTGAAATAAGTTGGGGGTTAATCTTCAGGTGATCCACTATTTTTAAACATGGCTGAACTTCTCCTAACCTCAGTGATAATAATGACTCGACACTGCACTCACAGAAACGTGTACTGAGAGGTGATGTTCCTGTGACAACATGATAGTGATACTCAAGTTAATGATTTCTCAATTATTATATTCCAGCACGTACCTTTGCATATATAATGATAGGTAGCCTCGCAACTACAAATTTTCACGTTTATTTTTGTAGATTTATTGTTATTGATTTCTAAGAATTACTAGCCAAGCCTAAGTAAAGGACTCTAAACTCCCCCGCAAGGTTGCTAACTACATACAACAATGAAAATGGGGCCCAATTCTGCCGCACAGTCATCACTCTTAACTCCAGCACAACATACGAGTACCTGTATACATTGTATAACTGCATTGTCAATATTATGCACTACTGATGCCTACGATACCTATATACTGTACACGCTGAATTAATTGAATCTTCTAATGACGAATTTACCGAATAAAAGTCCAGTGTCTATTTTCTTAATCAATCATTTGTGTAATTTCCTATATCCTGCTTATGAATCTGTTTATATGTATTTTCTTCAGACATTAATAAAGCAACTGTGAACGTGCGATTTCATTCAGTCCGTCATCTGTTGTTAAATTTGTTTTTATAATTATCGCCTTGCGTTTCTATAATTTAAAGTAGCATTTATTTTAAAGAAGTAGGTGTGATACAATTCTGTCGAAGAATCTGAAGTGTTATAACCTAATTCGTATGTTTTAGAACCGAATTGATTGATTGATTTGTCGACATCTTCAGGACCGAAGTTAACTAGTGTAGGTGCACCATATTTTTTAATTATTAAAAAAAAAAACATGTCACTTAAACATTGAAGATTATGTATGATAATAAGTTTACCTTTAGAGCGATATTATTTACGTTTCGTTCCTTTTCAATTTAAGTTTCTCCATTGTTTTAATAGGTTATGACATTTTTGGGTGAAATCTTGTGAATTGCCTCGTAATCCGGTTACAAAAATATACAGTAGTGTCCCACTTATATTTTCTCTAGTGATGATTCATAGAAAATTAGACATCTCAACCAGTAACGGAGGTAAATTAGAGAAACCCATTCAGCTGTTTGATCTGCCCAGTGTTATTTTGTTATGAACTTTATTTTCCATAGTTAGGTTAGATTAGCTAAGAATAAAGTTCATTTAGGTTAAATTTTATTAGGTTAAAGTCAGGTTAAGTTAGGTTTGGTGTTAGGTTAGGGTGTTTAATCAACAGGTGAAATAAACTGGGCTGCTTAATCTTCAGGATAAAAATGCTAGGGTGCCTAATCTTCAAGTTGGAAGAACAAATACTTATAATGTATACAGCCTTAACAACATCAACCTAGAGAAGTCGACTTGTGAAAGAGACCTAGGGGTACTTGTAAACCCGGACCTAAGGCCTAGAAAACAGTGCGTTAATGTTCGAAATAAGGCAAACAGAGTATTGGGTTTTATATCTAGAAGTGTAAGTAACAAGAGTGCAGAGGTCTTATTGCAACTATATCTTGCGCTAGTCAGGCCGCACCTCGATTATGCAGTTCAGTTCTGGGGCCCTTATTATGGAATGGATATAAATTCACTAGAGTCGGTGCAGGAAGAATGACAAAAATGATTCAGGGACTTAGAAACCTTCCATATCAGGATAGATTAAAGAAACTTAACTTGCATTTCCTAGAAAGACGAAGAGTGCGGGGAGATATGATAGAAGTATTTAAGTGGGTGAAAGGAATCAATAAAGGAGATATAGATAAAGTTCTTATAATATCCGAGCAGGATAGGACTCGGAGCAACGGATTCAAGTTGGATAAGTTTAGGTTTAGGAGGGAGATAGGAAGAAACTGGTTCACAAATAGGGTGGTGGACGAGTGGAACAAGCTTAGCAACTTTGTAGTAAGTGCGGGAACTCTGGAAAGTTTCAAAAGGAGGCAAGATAGATTCATGGATGATAGAGAGTGGTAGTAACTCTCGACAGGAGCTGCCATGCACAGGCCAACCGGCCTATTGCAGACTCCTTATTTTCTTATGTTCTTATGTAAAGTTATCCCAGACCTTGGCAATAATATTTAACATTGAAGTTGTGGGGTGTGAAATTGTTTGGTTCACACTCAGAAAGGAAACTCACAATGTGCTCTCTATATACATGTTGTATTGGATGTACAATGCAGCTTGGTGCTGGGAAGGCAGCATGGTTACAAGCGTGATGTAGAGAGAGCTGGTTGGTGAGGATGCTCACAGGAGGACAGCTTGTGGGTCGCCATGCTCGCCGGCGGGAGCGAGGACCGCCAGGCAGGCGGAGGTGTTGCTGGCTGGTTGGTGTAGGTAGAAAGAAACAGGTCGATACGATACGACCACATTAGTTAAGAGGTGAAAGAAGATTATTAGGGGTTGAAGTAAAAAGTGGTGAAACTGAAATACAGTAGGAGTAGAAAGAATCTGGGCTCAACCAGATCGCTTCATCTTCTTATTGTCTTTTGTCTTTGTTCTGCTCCTTGGGTCGTCAGACCTGGCAAATTAATATTGGTTTATTTATATAATGCTGCTTATTATTATTATTTTTATTATTGTTGGAGTTAGTGAGCCCGCAGGTCCTTGTGTAACTGGGAGGTAGTCACTTTTTTTTTTTTTTTGGTGTTAGTTAAGTGTTAGTTGTGTTAGTCTAAAGGTACACTGTATGGAGAGGCCTGCCAGGTTCTTAGTGGAGCTGGTTGGTCACTCTCATCTTTATTCCTCTAGTAATGTTTTATGTAGAAATGTGTATATTGAGGCAGGTGGTGGTTCAATTACTTCTTCCTGGCTGATATAACTGAGAGGGTAATCACATTATTATTATTATTAGTATTATTAATATATATATATATATATATATATATATATATATATATATATATATATATATATATATATATATATATATATATATATATATATATATATTTTTTTTTTTTTTTTTTTTTTTTGAGTTAGTGGGCCGCTTGGGTCTCGGCACGCGACCACCACGAGGTCAGGTCTTAAATAGCGGGGGTTGGCGTGTCTTAGTAGTTGACCCCAGCTCCGTGGGCGGCGCTGGTTGACCTCGACCACGAGGTATACACTGGGGAATTGGTGGGGTCGGCTACTCAGCGACAAACAGCGTTTGTAGGGGAGAAATCCACTACAAAGTAACCGTATAAGGGGTTAAGTTGGTTCAAGGTCATGGCAGATA